TATCCACGGGGTTGCCCCAAATGTAGGAGAGAAAACAATGGAAATACTTGCAGACATTGTTTTATTTGCTGTCAGGCTGGACATTTAGCCAGTCACTGCCCACAAAGGAAGGCGAAAAACGAACAGGGGGCATTTCCGAGGGACAGGAGATGGCCAAGAACATAGAACAAACGTCCCCTCAATGTGCGTTTTGCAAAAAACTCCAAGTACATGACACTATCCTTTGTTGTAAACAATGCAAAGCTGTTTATTCTTGTGACCGGGAATGTCGAAGGAAACATTGGCATGATCACAAACCAACATGTGTTGCCTTGCAAAGCATTAATCACAAGGATATGAAAGACAATACAGACTTGGAATTCTTTGCAACCCACCTGACTCCAAGTCAACAGAATAAACTGGTACAGATAATTGGTAGAAAATGCATAGTATTGGGGAAATTAGATAATAAAGAAGTTAATGTGCTTTGGGACACAAGGGCCCAAGTGTCTATGGTTTCAGAAAGATTTTTGAGACAAAATCACCCAATAAAACAAATAAGAAGTTTGTCGGAACTTGTCGAGACTGACCTAAAACTCACAGCAGCAAATGGTAGTGTTATACCATATATTGGTTGGGTTGAATTAGCATTTACCTTGTCTTCAAAGAACACTCAGGTGCACGTGCCATTTTTGGTTATAACTGAAACAATTGAGCACCCGATAATAGGCTACAATGTGATTGGAGAAATTGTGACAAATGAACACAATGATTTATTGTCAGAAATTCAATCTTCATTTGTTGGACTTGACAATGGTGCGGCACAAGCATTAATAAACTTTGTTCAAAGTGCTGACAGTGATTATTTATGCAATGTCAAAACAAGCAAAAGAGACGTTGTTATACCAAGTGGAAAACAGGTAAACATTCAGTGTCGAGTTAATACAGGTCCAATTTGTGGGACTACCTCAGTTTTATTTGAACCAGATGAAACAATGCCTTGGCCCTCCTGCCTAGAAATCAATGAGACATTGCTAACAGTAAAGAAAGGGAAGACTAATTTTATCGAAGTGCAAGCGAATAACCCAACAAATCATGATATTGTTATTAAGCGACGGACAGTGTTAGGGCGATTACAACTGGTACGGTCTGTAACCGCAATACCAGTAAAATTGAGAGAGGAAACCGTTGAGAATGGTTCTCAGGTAGACCAAACTTGTAAAGTTAGTGAATGTTCTGTTACTTTCATTGATGAAACCCAGCCCATGGTGGGCATCCCTGACCACACCAAGAACATTGACTTAAAAGGGGTTAACACCAGAACAAAGATCAGTTGCGCTAAGGATGTTAGCTCAAGAAGCTGACGCATTTTCACAGAATGACGACGACATTGGGTGTATCCCAGATCTGAAAGTAACAATCAAATTGAACGATGAGACACCAGTACAAAAGAACTACACAGCAGTGCCAAGACCACTTTATCCTGAGGTTAAAAGTTATGTTGAAGATCTCTTGAATAAGAACTTTATCAGGAAGTCAAGATCTCTTGAATAAGAACTTCATCAGGAAGTCAACATCGCCTGTAGTATGTGTCCGGAAAAAGGACCAAACGCTTCGGCTCTGCATCGACTATAGAGAACTAAATAAAAAAGCATCCCAGATCGCCACCCTGTACCCCGGATCCAAGAGACACTTGACAGTCTTGGGGGAAATTCATGGTTTTCGGTATTGGACCAAGGAAAAGCATACCATCAAGGTTTTATGAGTGAGGAGAGCCAAGCGCTAACTGCCTTTATAACCCCTTGGGGCTTATATGAATGGGTTAGAATTCCATTCGGTCTTTGTAATGCCCCAGCGGCATTCCAAAGATTCATGGAAAACTGTTTGAATGACTTGCGCGACACAATATGTATCCCGTATCTTGATGACGTCATCGTATTTAGTGCCACGTTCGAGGATCATGTGGAACATCTTCGGAAGGTATTGCAGCGTTTAAGGGAACATGGGGTAAAGCTAAAACCCCAAAAGTGTAAGTTGTTCGAGAGAGAAGTAGTGTTTTTGGGACGTATTGTTTCAGAAAGAGGTTATCGAATGGACTCTGCAGGCGTAGAGGTTATCCACCATTTGAAGTCGTCCCCTCCAAAAAACGTTGGTGATGTTAGGCGTTTAATGGATCTGCTAAATTGCTATCGGAGATACATTCCAAATTTCTCTAGAAAAGCGAAACCAATATACGATCTAATTAAGAGTGACGGTGTAGAGACAGGAAATAACAAACGTAATATAAAATCGAAAGGACAGTTACCTTCTAGTACTATTGTGCAATGGACTAACGATCATCAACTCATCCTTGAAGACCTGTTAGATCATTTGGTTGACCCACCTGTGATGGTTTACCCAGATTTTACCAAACCGTTTATTGTGTGCACTGACGCGTCTGAAGAGGGACTGGGAGCCGTCCTGTACCAAAGTCAAAACGGTGAAACAAGAGTTATTGCGTATGCTTCTCGAAGCTTGACACCCGCCGAAAGAAATTACCATCACCATTCGGGCAAGTTGGAATTTCTTGCACTAAAGTGGGCGGTCTGTGACCATTTTCGGGACTATTTGTATTATGCCTCGGAATTTACAGTGTATACTGACAACAACCCACTCACATACATCTTGTCTTCCGCAAAACTTAATGCAACGGGTTTACGTTGGGTCGGAGAACTGGCAGATTTCAATTTTACTATCAAGTATCGCCCCGGTAAAGTGAACACTGATGCAGACGCGCTGTCAAGGTTGTTGCCAAATGTCGATAGTTACATGGAGATGTGCACCGAGGAAATTGCAATGGATACTCTTCAAGCCGTAGAGTCATCAATTTTGGAACAGCAAGCGAGTAACATCAGCTGGATCACAGCTTTTACTGCAAATTAGGATGTGTTAGAAGAAGATATGAAGCACATTAACAGTGTTTCCATGAACACCATTTCTTGTGACGAGATCGCACTTGCCCAAAGAGATGACACAGAAATTAGCAAGGTGATCAAATGGATTGAAGCGAAAGAGAGACCTACTTAGGAAAAAAACATCTAATGAATCACGCTATACACGGTACCTCCTGCACGAGTGGAACAAGTTGGAATTGGACAAACATGGATTACTTCGGAGAAAAAGTGGTTTGAAGAATCAAATAGTTTTACCTAAAAAGCTCAATCGGTTGGTGTACGAGGAACTTCACGAGAAAATGGGCCACTTAGGAGCAGATAGGGTACTAGAACTTGCCCGTGCTCGGTTCTATTGGCCGCACATGCAGAGAGATGTAGAATCTTACATTTCACATAAATGTCGTTGTGTGAAGCAAAAAGTTCCTACTTTCCAAACTAGGGCACCATTACAGTCCATTGCAACACCTGCTCCATTCCAGATGGTGTCTTTAGACTTTGTTCATCTTGAGAAAAGTAGCGGCGGTTATGAATATATCTTGGTTATAATGGATCATTTTACCCGTTACGCACAAGCCTATGCAACCCGAAATAAGTCAGCTAAGACAGTGGCGGAAAAGTTGTATAATGACTTTATTTTATCATCCGCAAGGTAATGGTCAAGTGGAACGCTTCAATCGTACCCTCCTTGCCATGCTGCGAACCCTAACGGAAACGCAAAAATCACACTGGAAAGACCACCTCCAGAAAATGGTACACGCCTATAATTGCACGCGTCACGAGTCAACAGGATTCTCGCCATTTTATCTCTTATTTGGCAGACACCCTCGTCTACCTATTGATATGATCCTAAACCTGGAGAGCGAGTCAAATGAGTCACCTAATTATAGAGAGTATGTTAAACAACTGGAGTGAAGCGATGCTGAAGCGTACAAGATTGCAAATGAAAAAAGTTCACAAAGTAGAGCGAAAGGGAAAAAGCTATACGACCGTCATATCCGTAGTTCGGAGTTACGACCGGGGGATAGAGTTCTTGTACGAAATCTGAGTAAACGAGATAAACCTTGCAAGCTGCAAAGCCATTGGGAAGACAAGATACATGTCGTGGTCACCAGGAGAGGGGAAGATAGCCCAGTCTATACTGTTAAACCCGAAAGTTCTGATGGCCCGAGTAGAACTCGTCATCGTAATATGCTGTTACCGTGTAGTTCACTTCCCGTGGATGTGTACACGTGAGCGCGTGAGCGCGCTCGCACAAAAAAAGTGGTTAGGTTATGGTTAGGTTAGTGGTTAGGTAGTGGTTAGGTTATGTTGGGGTTCGTAAAAAGATCGTGTTTTCATGCAAGTGACCCAAAAGTACGAAAGACCCTGTATTTAGCCCTAGTAAGAAGCCAGCTTGGTTACTGTAGCCAAGTGTGGGCACCCCAAACCACCTATGACATTCAAACCCTGGAACGAGTTCAGCGTCGCAGCACGAAGTTTATTTTATCTCTTCCATTTCAAACAGATATTTCATATCCTAAAAGACTCGCTAAACTCAACATTCTTCCAATTACCTACTGGCATGAATACCTGGATCTTGTTTATCTATTCAAATGTCTTTATGAAAATTCCGACAAAAATGTAAAACTACATTCACCAAATCGTGTAACCAGACGCTCTAGTTCCACATCAGGACTCCTTCTTCAGATTACCAAATCAAAAACAGTAACCTTTCAAAACAGTTTTTATATCAGAGCATGCAGAACGTGGAACACTCTACCAATATCTTTAAGAAACTTAACTTTATTGTCTTCGTTCAAACGTTGTCTATTTAATTACTATTTTTTATTAACTTCTATTGTTTATAACCCAGAATTGCCGCACACATACAAGACTGTTTGTGTCAAATGTCACAAAGCCCGTCCTTTGGATTCACTCAGTGACACTTTGTGCTGCTAGTGCCCTTTCTTTATATTATGTGATGACTTTTTGTTGTTTTTTGTTGTGATGCACTATTTAGTGTTTAACTCTTTGTATACAATATTTCTATGTATTTTACAACTCACGCGGGGAACCCGTTATTGGAGCTTCGGCTCTGTGGGTGCGCCCTTCCTGTTTTTGGGTAAATTAAATAAATAAATAAACAAATAAAAAATAAAAGTGCTCCGCAAAAATTGTAAATTTACTGATGAAAAAACCAAGCTGAAAGAGAAGTTTTACCCCATAAAGGTGCGATCTTTCAAATTTATAAGTTTGTTTGCGGATACAGTGTTTTATTAGTTTGTAATTTGTGTCCAGTTTGGTCTTGGTTTTCGTTTCTTGGCCAATTTGAGAAAAAGAGTCGTTGACATTGCGCACGCAAGCTCCTACGTTACTTTGTATATTGACGTGACTTAAATCTTCAACGGCATTTGCGCAATTAAAGTTTCGCGGGAAATTTAAACAATTCGCACGTACATTGAGATATTATACGACACGGAATCAACGGAAAATTATTCTAAATCGACGTAGTAATAAAAGTATTGGAATTTTCAAACAACTTTCCATCTGGCTTCCTATTCTTGTTGTTGTTATTTGGCTTTGTACAAGATGTAAATCACTAATTATCAAGCTGAACGACGAAGAAGCTTCCAAAAGTGTTTTCATCAATTCTGAACTGACAACGTTACACGATAAACTCTGCTGTATGTGGACATCAACGCGAGACAATCATTTACGAAAATCCAGTTACCCGTGTAAACACCGATACGGTTTGGAATTTGATATGAAACATCAAACATAAGAGTCTCCATTTGGTCTTGTGCATCCTGCTTGCTGGCGATATCGCTCTCAATCCAGGTCCAATGATGACTACGCGTTTAGAAGATCTACCCGCGTTGCGTCCGCAACTATTAGCGAACGATGCACATGCAAACTCTGAATCAACGCGAGGGTACATTTGTAGCAAGCGTAATGATTCTCAGCACGGACTCGATTGTCTTTATTTGAACTCGAGAAGTCTAAAAGCTTTCGTTAAGACAGACGACAACTGTTCCAAAATTTGTAAAATAAACATATTTCAACAGTTGGTTTACTGCGGTGGTTATGACGTTGTCTGTGTTTGCGAAACCTGGCTCAACGACTGCGTGCTCGACAGCGAACTGTTACCAGGTTACTCCATTTTTCGCAGAGACAGGGTTGGAAAGACGGGTGGAGGCGTGTTGGTTGCGGTAAGAGATACCATTCGTGCAAAACGTCGAACCGATCTGGAGGGAAATAACGTGGAACTAGTTGTAGTGGAACTTTTCAAAGCCAATAATCAATCTATCATATTGTACACTTTCTACCGCCCTCCTAGTTCTACTTTGGATTCTATACAACAACTCAACTCATCTCTTGACAACATTCCTGAGTCCATGAGCATCATTCTTATCGGGAACTTCAATCTGCCTACCATTGACTGGTCACTAGATCATCCAAACCCAAACAATAATGGTGGCCTTTTGGAAAACAAGTTCTGCGATTTAGTTGGTGACCATTTTCTTGAACAATTAATATCTGGCTCCACGCATCGTGACGGCAACAAACTTGATTTGCTGCTCTGCAACTACGCTGAAATAATAAAAAATGTAACATCATCTACCCCTGAACAGTTTGGTTTTCCTACCGACCACCACATCATAGAATTTGAAATCCCACAAAATTTTTCTCGCGCTAAACCAATCAAGCGAATAATCCTTGACTATAGACAAGGGAATTTCGAAGAACTTCGGACTTCTCTATTGCAAGCAGGGTTCGATAGTGATGGCGTATTGACAGAGGAAATTGACCAGCACTGGACTCGTTGGAAAGAGTGGTTTCTCGCGCATGTGAACAAATTTATTCCTAAGAAAGTTGTTAAAGACACAAACTCGCCACCCTGGGTTGACGGAGAAGTAAGGCACTTACTACGAAAAAAATATGCTGCGTTGAAAAAGTACCGACAATCCAAAACTACAGCCCGTAAAAAGAAACTCCGAACTCTGACTCAAATATCAAATACGCAATGAGACAAAAACACCGTGACTATCTTGTGAAAATTAAAGATTCATTTATCGATAATCCCAAGCTATTTTGGAGCTACCACAAGTCGACATGTCGTCATCGTGAAAGCAAAGTGTCGGAAATATCGTACAAAGGCGTAACGGCGAAAACTGCAGCCCATAAAGCTGAACTGTTCAACGCGTTCTTTTCCTCTGTTTTTACCTCTCCTCGATCGAACATTGGTGAGGACACTATCAACAATTCACTTCCATTAAGAACGGAACAAAATCTATCTGACATCACAATTGGTGTAGAAGAAGTTGCCAACTGTTTGCATGGTCTGGATACATCGAAAGCAAGTGGCCCCGATGATTTACCGTCCAGGCTATTGAAAGAGTGCGCCCAATAAATAGCACCAAGTCTATGTACCTTGTTCAACCATTCACTGCAATGTGGTCGAATGCCATTAGAATGAAAATCAGCGAACATCACTCCACTGCACAAGAAGCAGCGCAAAGAACCAGCAGAAAACTATCGTCCCATTTCTCTCCTTCCTATAGTCAGCAAAGTCTTGGAACGTTGCGTGTATTCCCAATTCTACGAACATGTCTCCTATCTCATCACTCCACATCAACACGGTTTTCTACGAAATCGTTCCTGCGTTACACAATTGCTCTCCGTGCTTCATTCCATAGGACAAAAACATGATACGAACGAACAGACTGACATAGCGTACCTCGACCTCGCGAAAGCCTTTGATTCCGTAGATCACTCCATTCTCCTTCAAAAACTCAAATGCTGTTAAATTGGTTTGCTGATTACCTCAACAATCGTCGTCAGAGAGTCGTAATGGACGGTGCTACATCGCAATGGACCCCAGTTACATCCGGAGTGCTGCAAGGTAGTATCCTGGGTCGAATGTTGTTCGTTATTTTCATCAACGATGCTCCTGATGTCATCAACAACAAAGCAATTCCAGCACTATTTGCAAACGACACTAAGCTCTACAAGAACATAACATCAGTGAATGACTGCAACCAGTTGCAAGAAACTTTAACACACCTTGATACTTGGAGTCAGGATACAAGTGTAAAGTATTGTCGGTGACGCGCAAGAAGGCCCCAATTTCTTTTCCCTATCATCTCGGGTCGACAGAGCTGTCGAGAGTTGACGACGAAAAAGACCTTGGCGTAATCTTCTCCAGTAAACTACAGTGGAACTTACATATCAACGAAATGGTATCGAAAGCGAATAGGCAGCTAGGCGTGCTTAAGAGGACTTGCCACTCACTCACAGACATCAACATCCGACGTACACTGTATCTTTCGCTGGTGAAGTCGAAGCTCAGCTATGCAACACAAGTTTGGTCGCCTATTCACAACAGACAACTCAGTGAAAGGATTGAAAGAGTACAAAGAAGAGCCACGAAATGGATTCTAAGGACCGGGACTTGTGAAATGCCATACAAGCAACGGCTGTTGAAATTGGAACTCTTACCACTCTCTTACGATAGCGAGATGAAAGATCTCGTATTTTTCTTCAAGGCGTTGTACGGTTACGTCGACCTTAACATTAACAATTGAGTCTCTTTTATTCAACATGGACGTACTCGCCTTAGCCAAGCTACTGGTGTAATGCTTCAAACTCCTGTGTAGAAGTTGTCGTCCTATACCCCCCCCCCAGTGCCGACGATTTCAGCATGCAGAGTCACTTATTTCAGACACTGAGCGAAGTCGAAGCAAAATTTTACAGCTGCGGTATTATCATTGCTGGGGATTTCAATCGTCTTAATGTGAATCATATAATTAAGCACTTTCGGTTGAAACAAATTGTTAAATCACCAACTCGAGGCGAAGCAATATTTGATCTAATATTAACTAATATGCACGAGTTCTACAAGTCTCCGCAAATACTCCCTCCAATTGGATTATCTGATCACAACACAGTTGTAGTTTCACCCACTCACATTGTGAAGAAAGCAAAACCTACATTTGTATACAAACGAGACCTTCGTCAGAGTAAGAAAGATGCCATGGGGAGATTTTTACAATCAATCCTTTGGCCTGAAATTTTTGCTCAATCACAAAGCTGCGAAGATATGGCGAATTTTTTTTATGACATTGTAGCTATTGGTCTTGACCTCCTCATGCCAATTAAACGGATTAAGAAAATCTCCGCAGATGTTCCTTGGATGACCGATAAATTGAAAACATTTATAAAAAAAAAGACAAGAAGCCTTTTTCAGTTACGGTCCAAAATCCAACTGCTTTAAAAATTACCGAAATATTGTCAATCGCGAGAGAAAAGCGTGTAAATCAAAATACTATACGACCCAGGTTCACAGTAAAGAAAAAGATAACCCTAAAACTTGGTGGAGTGAAATCAAACGCCTAGGAGGAATGAAATCAATGAATAGCTCCCTAATAAATTTGATAAATATCGCTGGTTTTGAAGATATATCGGAACAAGAACTAGCAAACAGAATAAATACAGCTTTTCTTGAGCCCTTATCAGAATATCAACTATCTTCACCGTTAGAGCGACTTAACTTAGAGGAAAACCCAGACTTCTTAGAAGTTTCTGAAGAAAGGGTTTTATCACAGCTACAAAAACTCAACCCCAGTAAAAGTGGTGGCCCTGACGAAGTGCCCAATTGGCTCTTGCGAGAGTATGCTGTAATCCTTGCCCTTCCAATTAGTCTAATCCTAAATGCATCCTACAAACAACAACGCCTACCTGCAATATGGAAACTTGCGAATGTTTCACCGCTGCCAAAAGTAAAAATAGTACAGGACCTGAAAAAAGAACTTAGGCCCATTTCATTAACACCTAATATTTCGAAGGTTGCAGAGCATTTCGTTGTTAATGATTATGTGAAACCAGCTGTTTTGAAGAAAATTGACCCCAATCAGTATGGAGCAATCCCTAAATCATCGACGATTTTTGCTCTTCTTAGTATGGTGCATAACTGGACCTCCGGGCTTGACGGTACCGGTTCTACAACTAGAATCATTCTATTCGATTACCAAAAAGCTTTTGATCTAATTGATCACAGAATTTTGTTCAATAAACTACTTCAGTTAGATCTACCACGAAGTGTTATAAATTGGATTATTGATTTCTTAAGTAACAGATTCCAAAGAATCAAACTTTCACAAGGATGTTTTTCAGATTGGGGTGCAGTACCTTCGGGCGTCCCTCAAGGCACCATTTTAGGTCCATGGCTCTTTTTAATCCTGATAAATGATTTATCTATCACAGATACTGACTTATGGGAATATGTGGACGATACGACAGTATCGGAAACAGTTGACAAAAACCAACAGAGTAGAGCACAGACAATTGCTAATGAGATGTCACAATGTTCCCAAAACAATAAAATGAAGCTGAATGAAGAGAAATGTAAGGAGCTCCGTATTTCCTTCTCAAAAGTCCCTCGTGATTTTAACCCGATACTTATTAACAATAAAAGTATTAGAGTCGTAAAATCCGTTAAACTTCTGGGCTTGTCATTCGATAATAACCTGACGTGGAATCTACATATCGAAGAGGTAGTTAAAAAAGTATCCAAACGAATCTATTACCTGATCCAACTCAAACGGGCCGGTATTCCTTGGAACAATCTGGTTCTATTTTATTTTACATGTATTCGATCTGTTATCGACTATGGTATCCCTGTCATTTACTATTCGTTGCCAAAATACTTGCGTTCCGAATTGGAAAGATTACAAAAAAGAGCTATTAGAATCATCTGTCCAAACACTAATTACGAAGACGCTTTAATTAGTTGTGGATTGGAGTCACTGTCTGTTCATCATGAAAATATTTGTACTAGTTTATTTCAAACAGTAGTTGCTGATGAAAATCATAAGTTACGAGGTTTACTGCCACCTACACATACTTCTTTTTATGATTTAAGAACCGATAGGAAATTTGAAATTCCTAGATGTAACACTAATCGTTTTCAAACTAGTTTTTTTGTGGCTTCGTGCCGCAAATCATTTATCTAATGCTATTGAAATGACCTAATATTTTTAATAATTTTAAATTTTTTAGTATATTAAAGTAATAAACATCTTGTATATATAATATTTATATGGAATGTCATCATAATGGCTTGATAAACTCTTCTTTTATATTCTCGCAATTAGTTAAATTTACTTGTAAAAAAAATACGCAATTCAGCCTATGGCTGCGAAGTATTTTATTAAATCTATCTATCTTATCTCATATCTGTCATATAAAGGTAAATCTCTGTTAATACATTTGATTATTTCGTTCTCCAGAGTCGAGACTGGATCTCTTTCGCTGTGAATTTGTGACACTTTTTAAGCTAGGGGCCTAGGGCAGTTATATATTCATTTTAAATACTGTCTGAGAAAAGATGGGATCTCTTCAAGACATGTACCTGTATATTTGTAGTACTTCACCTACTTCTGTGAAGCTATCCACAGGCGGCCCAATCTTGCAAGGGTTAGTGTAGACTTGTAGTAATGTATATTATAGTAATGTATATGGTAAAAATATGTCATAAAATATAAATTTGACTTGCCTATTTGATAGTGTGTGTTCTACTTTTATTCCTCCTTTGTTGGACTAATATCTTCCGAGAATTTGTACTCGATGGTACTAGTATACATGATACATGATAAAGGCAAACTATTTCCGATCGCCGATACGACGGCACGACACTTCGAATCGAAAATTCTCACACTCAAATCGCTTTATTCTCCAAAAAAATTCGCCAGCATGTAGAACAGATGCCGTTCTTCGAAAATACGGAGATACTTCGGCGAGATATACAAGGTTTGGACCATATTTTAACAATGGAAATTCAACACCCATTTTATATTGAACTTGACCAGATCGAAAATTACTACCGCGAACACCTGGGCAACCAGGTCTCCTAAAACCGTTGGGATTTACGGGGGGGAGGAGGACGCCGCCTGCCCATAGCATGCAAATACCAAAAAGCAATGGGAAACAGTACAATGGGAGACAATATATTGCCGTGTATATATCACGTATGTTATAATAAGAAATGTATTTAAAACAATTTATGATGTCTATATATTATCCTTTTATATAACGATTATATTTTGAATTAATGTAACCTCCCCCCGTAAATCCCAACGGTTTTAGGAGACCTGGTTGCGCAGGCGTTCGCGGTAGTAATTTTCGGTCTGGTCAAGTCAGTTCAATATAAAATGGGTGTTGAATTTCCAGTGTTAAAATATGGTCCAAAACTTGTATATCTCGCCTAAGTATCTCCGTATTTTTTAAGAACGGCATCTATTCTACATGCTGGCGAATTTTTTTGGAGAATAAAGCGATTTGAGTGTGAGAATTTTCGATTCGAAGTGCCGTGCGGTCGTATGGACGATCAGAAATAGTTAGCCTTTATCATGTATCATGTATACTAGTACCATCGAGTACAAAGTCTCGGAAAATATTAGTCCAGCAAAGGAGGAATAAAAGGAGAACACACACTATCAAATAGGCAAGTCAATTTCATTTTAAAATTTATATTTTATTACATATTTATACCATATACATTACTATAATATACATTACTATATTAAATATACGTTACTATAAATCTATACTGACTAAAGGTGTGCGAATCCGATCCGAATCCGAATCCGATCCAATCCGATCGGATTCGGACAGTAATTCACTCGGATTGGATCGGATTTCTTTTTTTATTGTCGGATCGAATCGGATTTTGTAGGTTTTTTGTCCGATCGGATCGGATTTGGGTTTTTTCTTGTATTGCGTCGAATTACTCGAATATTTTAATAAATTAAGATAGTTCTATAGCAGGAAGTGCCTGGAAGGCTTTGCAGCCGAGTAAGCCGAGTGATTTGGTCGAAGCGGAGTAATATTATATAATGCCGAGTGATGACAATAAAGTAAAATAGTGTTTTGATATTTCTGACAAAAGAAACACTGGCGTTATGTGGATTCTTCTTAAATCGGTTACGTATGGGAATTGGGATATAGAAATGTTGTGATTCTTTGTTTAGTTTGTTAGGTTTATGTGTCATGAAGCACTGACAATGAGATTTATTAGTGATAAACTTTAAGATGTTTTAAATTGTAAACCCAGCTCAAGGTCATGCATTGTTATAATAACTATGTGACTAGTCGGTTTTTTTCTACGCTAGTGTAAAGGTATAAGGCATAATTATGTGATATCCCACTGCAGTTTTATCGGATTCGTATCTGCTTATTTTTGCTGGAAATTCATTATTTCCAATATATCGTTTGTGATCATGAAAAAATACGTTCATACACCAAATAATTAACGCACGCTGTATATAATAACTTAAGTTCGGATCGGATCGGATTATGAATTTTAGCATCGGATCGGATCGGATTTTATAAACATTTTTTTCGGATCGGATCGGATTGCTTTTTTCTTCTTCGGATCGGATCGGATGCGGATTGAGAACTTAGACAAACCATCGGATTCAAAGAGGTCAATCCGATCCGACGCACACCTCTAATACTGACCCTTGCAACATTGGGCCGCCTGTGAGCTATCCGGACATTCATCTTAAGATACATTCTAGGATTAATCCCCATATTCATCCCAAAATTTTTCCCAATATTCAAATTTAAAAAAATTAATTTAGCAAGAAATTAAGACATTTACTGTAAAAGTAATGCTTTAAGGACAACGTCTATTATTCACAATGTATTAAATTATAATATTAGTGTTTCTGAATACCTTAAAATTTCAAATTACCTTCGGTTTCATTTGTCACGAATTCACAACAAATTTCTATTATAATTATGCATTAATATATACTTACATTTGAAAAAAAAAAAAA